AATTTTCATTTCCATATTCCCTGTCCCATCAATTCAACACAGATTTTTTTTCCAAAAATTAAAGCAAGTAAAATATATATCTGGAATGATGTTTATTTTTAGAAAATCTACTGTGAACAACTACCAGACAACTGGCAGCTTAGAGTTTTACAACAGTTATAGACAGATGGGTCTCATATTGCAATCCCATCTAAATAGAAGATTTCCTGTTTACTTTGCATCAGCCTTTTTACAGGTGCAGACAGCTTACTTTTGGCAGTAAAGGAAGAACTAATTTATAAGAACATTTTCTCATTTTCCTTAAATAGGTTAAAGAATGAATTAAAATTGCAGTACATCAACTTTGCACATGAAACTTGCTCTGCTATTAGAGACTAATGTAATCCAAATATGTGGGAAAGTTCTCAACAAAACTTAGATGGATGGATCAGATAAAAACTTGGGGCCGGCGCCTTGGCTCACTTGGCTAATCCTCCGCCTGTGGTGTCAGCACTCTGAGTTCTAGTCCTGACTGGGGTGCCGGTACTAGTCCCGGTTGCTCCTCTTCCAGTCCAGCTCTCTGCTGTGGCCTGGGAAGGCAGTGGAGGATGGCCCAAGTGTTTGGGTCCCTGCACCCGCAGAGGAGACCAGGAGGAAGTACCCGGCTCCTGGCTTCGGATCGGCGCAGAGCCAGCCGTAGCGGCCATTAGGGGAGTGAAGCAACAGAAGGAAGACTTTTCTCTTTGTCTCTCTGTCACTGTCTATAACTCTCTCTGTCTCTCTCACTGTCTAACACTACCTGGCAAAAAATAAAAATAAAAAAAAACATAGAAATAAACTGGATAGAATCATTTCTACTCAAAGACAGTAACTACTGAATGTTATATTCCAAAATGTGCATGTAATATATTAAATTTTAGTCTATTACCAGAATCATCACAGAAAGATTTAAATACATCTCACTTGAAGAAATCACAAAGACCTGAAAAGATTCCTTTACATTCTGTGTAAAATAAATAAAAAAAGAATATTATAAAACTTAAGTGTCATGAAAGACAACATGAGTTTTGTGCTTCATTCTACTCATGTTCATATATATTTGCAAAGAATGTGCTTCCTTCTATAATACTCTTATGCAAACAAACCCAAAGGCATTGAAAAATGGTGGCATCTTTTTACTGTGAAAAATATTATTCATCACTATGAGATTCTTCTCTAAAACAAAGATAAAAAGGAATGACAATGGGCCATTGATGTGTTGCAGTGGGCTAAGCAACACCTTATATTGCCAGCACCCCATAACAGAGTGCCAGTTGAGTCTCGGTTACTGCATGTCTGATTCAGCTTCCTGCTAATGAGCCAGGAAAGGCAGTGGAAGATGGACCAAATGCTTGGACCTCGGCTACCCATGTCAGAGACCAGGATGGTGTTCCTGGTTCTGGCTTCAGACTAGCCCAGACCTGGATGTTGTAGCTTTTTGGGGAATGAATTAGCAGATGGAAGAGCTCCCTCTGTATCCCTCACACTCATTCTCATTTTCGCTCTGTCTCTCCCTCTCTCTCCTTCAAATAATAAAAATATTTTAAAAAAGAATGACACAAACTTTTCATGAGATATTGTATAAAATCTTATCAGCAAAACAATATCAACTGTAGCCTTATAAAAAAAGGAAAAAAGGGTAGATTTAAGGAAAAATGACAAAAATTTGTCTTCTGAGTCACAAACTTCCTTTTTTTTTGCTCACCGTTTTGTGGGGTTTATTTATTTATTTTTTTTATTTGACAGGTAGAGCTAGACAGTGAAAGAGAGAGACAGACAGAAAGGTCTTCCGTCCATTGGTTCACTCCCCAAATGGCCACTGCAGCCGGCACGCTGCACTGATCCGAAGCCAGGAGCTTCCTCCTGGTCTCCCATGTGGGTGCAGGGGCCCAAGCATCTGGGCTATCCTCCACTGCCCTCCCAGGCCACAGCAGAGAGCTGGACTGGAAGAGGAGCAACCGGGACTAGAACTTGGTACCCATATGGGATGCCAGTGCCACAGGTGGAGGATTAACCAAGTGAGCCACGACACTGGCCCCGTTAGTTTGTTTTTAAATAGGCAAAGGAAGGACATACAGGCAGATAGTAAAATGTGGAAATCAGAAGAAACATTCTAGAGATCCCATCATCCTGATGATCAGAAGACTACTCTAGTTGTAGCTACAGACTCCTCTGGGATTGCTGAAAGCACAAGACCATAAGTTGTATCAATTTTCAGGATGTAGAGTAATGCTGACTATCACAGAGTACTGCCCATGAAGACCACATTCTATCCTGGTATTTCTGGATATTCCTTTAGCACTCTACCATCTCTTCATATTGTGAACTCATTTCTTTCTTCTGCCTTAAATACTGTAAATGAATACTGAATAATTTTAGGAACTTCAAATTCAGTTAGTGTTAATGTTGTTTTAGCAACTCACTCCTCTGTGCCTAAGACTTCTGAGGTAGCCAGCCTTCAAGATGGTCTCAAATGACTCCTGATTCCTAAGATTCACATTCTTTAGTTTCCTCGTACACTTGAATTGAGTTAATGGCCTGTGAAACCAATAGGACTCTGTAGAAATGACAATGTGAACTTTTTGAGGCTAGGTCACAAAACACATTGCAGCTTCTACTTTGCTTTCTTCTCTCAGATTGCTCACTCTTAAGAGAAGCCAACCACCAATCAAGATTCCCGTGGAAAAGACCTCAGCAAAAGGAAGAGCTAATGCCTCCCATCCAAAACTGGCACCTTATTATGAGAAAAAACTTCTTGGGACAGATCACCCATCTCCTGTCAAACTTTCAGAGGTCTGCAACCTTGTGAGACACTGAGCTAGAACTACTGAGCTAATCCATCCGGAATTCCAAACCCAGAGAAGTTATATAAGATAATAAATGTTCATTGCAGCTTTAAGTCACTGAGTATTGATGTAATTTGTTAAACAATAACTAATATATACTATTTATTTTAAAAACCAAGAAATGCAAAGAAGGCAATGTAATCCAATGAATAAACATCTCCTTTAATGACATGTTTCTACATAAGCAATTCAGAACTCAAACCAAGTAATAACTCAACAGGTGTTTGTTAAATTGAGGTATTTTACTTATGTGTAAATAATGTTTACATCTTTGGTGTACATTGTTCATAACCTTTTTAAGTTTCATCCATGTGTTATGTCATTCTTTTTTATCAATTAGAATACCATGATTTATCAGTTTTCCCATTGATGGATGTTTGAGTTCTTCCTAGTTTGGAGCTAATATGAATGTTTCTGGGACCAATCCTATGCAAAGCCTTGTAGTGGACATGTATTTTTCTGTTCTTGTGGTTAAAAACATAGGCAGGGCTGGGATTAGAGTGAGGCACCTAGTGTACAACATTTAAAGAGGCCCTATTCCTAGGAGTGCAATTGGTATATCATAAAATAGATGCTTCTAAAATTTAATTATTAAGTTACAGTACTAAAATTTTACACTTAGATGTGCCATGGACTCTTGTCAAGAAATCTAGTATATAGATAAGGAGCAATAGTTAGCTAATATATTAGCATAATAAAACAATGTATACTTATAAAAATAAGGTATCAACACATTATCAGATATATGATTTTTAAATAAAATGTCAAGTTGAGAATAATTTGCTTTAGAATTAAATCAAATAAAACTACTTGTTTTACAGATAAGGATAATCATTAAGAGACTAGTCCAAGATTGCTTAGCTAGTTAGTGACTTTTTCATCATATACACTGCATTGTAAGTGTTTGCACAAATTTAACCTAGGCTTAGTTAAAATATTTTTTCTTAGATAACAATCAATTGTAGCTACAATTGGTTTCCAATGTTGATGCCAAATAACTTTCATAGAGAATTTTTAGCAGCAATGGCTTATAAATCTGAAACAGTGAGTAAAGAATAATTAGATTTATATTCATCTAGAATATTGTGATGATGAAAAAGTTTTACACAGTGAGAGAAAGAATATTCTTTTAGTGGCCAGCATTGTAACACACTGGGTTAAGTCACTGCCTATGATGCCAGCATCTTATGTGACTGCCAGTTTGAGTCTTGGTTGTTCTACTTCCAATCTAGGTCCCTACTAATGTGCCTAGGAAGGGAGTGGAAGCAGGCCCTTGTATTTGGGCCCTGTCACCCATATGGTAGACCACAATGGAGTTCCAGGCTCCTGGTTTCTGTCTGGCACAGCCCCAGCCATTGTGGTCATTTAGAGAGTGAATCACCAAATAGAAGAGCTCTCTGTCTCTCCCTTTCTCTCTGTAACCCTGCCTTTCAAATAAATAAAATCTTAAAAAAAAATGGAATGGACCATTCCAATACCATAAATACTTATAGCAAGTAGTTTTTATTGGTTTTATGCAACTTCTTAAACCAAAGCAAGATTTTGATAGTTTTAGGATAATTTCAGAAAATGTATAAAACACTTATTTAATGTATGTATGTTACAAACAATTAGACCACATTCACTTTTTGCCAAGATATAGAAAGTAAATTTGTTGAGTTATTGAAATACTTGGATTTGAACTGCATCATTAAATTCTACGAAGTCATGATAGTTACTTCTCCTACTCCTCAATATGGTCTTTGCTTAAAACAGTTTACTATATCAATAGGAATACCAGTATACAGTGAAAAGTCACCGTGTTCCCTTTCAGGAAAATAACTATTAGCTAGTAAATGTTCAGTACTAGGAAGACTTCAGTGTGTGTATATTCTCTTGAGGAATTACTTGTCAAGTACTTTGGAGAATGCTTATCTCATGAACGTCAAACACTGGAAAATCTCAATACTGAATTTTTCTATAGCTTGTGCTTTAAATTTCCCAAAATGAGAATTTGTATCTAGATTAAATCATTAAACAAGTAACACAAGAAACCAAAGCCCTGAAATTTCCAGTTAAAATGCCTGTTTGTCAGTTTATGCTTTTAATTTAAGTGTCTTAATATTCATTTAATTGTTGTGCTATATTACACAGTACCTCACAGGTTTCCTTTCTCGAAGCAAGTCTTCCAGACTCCGTTCACAGTGTTCAGCCACCACAACGAGTCTTTCTGAGTAAAACAAAGCAAATCTACTTTATATTTGATTAATACAACAATTTAATAACAAAAACAATATATTCCACTGAAGGCAGAAAGATACGATACAAACAATATTTTAAAAGAGCTTTTCAAACTCTATATTAATTACATCATCACCAAATAAAGTAGGACAAGTGTCTAGTAAACCAATACATTAAATAAAAATCCTTTGCCATCCCATGTGTTCCTCTATAGTTTCTCTTACATGCTTCAGGAAAAAAAACAGATGGAAAGTTGACCTTGAGAAAAAAAAAATGATTCTTTTTCTGAAACAGACTGGAAAAATTAAGATTGGATGAAGATGAAGAGAAATTTTGAAGGTGAAGAGAAATCAGAGAGTGAGAGATAGGTGTTTCATTCAAAAACAGAGTTTTGAAACATAGTTTAGAAACTTGAGGAAAGTAAAAATATTCTAATTCATGACCATAGAGAAAGAATAGAAAAGTGACTTGGCTTTATGGGGCCTGCTGAGTTTAAATTAAATATAAAATGGTAGTACTCACAATGAATATTATGGTATAATTTGGATTTTTCACTGATCAAGTCTCTTAAAATAACAGCACAGTTCCCACAGTCAGCCCCTATCTTTTGTTTTGTTTTTCTCACAAGGTATTCTTAGTGACTAACAAGATATCTGACAAAGTATCAAGCCAATAATTTTTCTTAAATGAATTAATCTACTAGGAACAAAAAAAATACGTAACTGAGTTTACAAGCAGTTGAGAACTTGATAAAGTTATTTCAGAAGTTTGTTTTAAAACAAATGCAGGTGTTGTGAGTATTTAGGCAAAATAAGTTCTAAATTCCCTAATGGGGTGGGGGGGAATAAAGACATAATGCTGGATTGAAACACTATGAAGAAGTAAATGTGCCATGTGCTTGAGAATTGTGGTAACTGAATAGAGAAGGTTTGGTGAAAATGAAACAGTAGCATTTGGGCCATTTTCCACTGCTTTCCCAGGTACAATAGCAAGGAGCTGGATAGGAAGTGGAGCAGCCGGATTTCAAACCGGAATCCATATGGAATGCTGGCATCACAAGCGGAAACTTAACCTACTATGACACAACATGGCCTCAAATTAACTGTTTTAAATTGGAAATTATTAAGTCTCTATATCTGTAAGAAACTTCCAAAGTGTGTGTTTTGCACTAGAGTAAAATTCATCATTCTTCTCCTGGAAACTCTCTCAAAATATCATCATTTAGAGTTTGCCAATAGTTCAAGGTTCTATGGAACTTTTAAGTGTTAGTTTAATACTGCAGAGCCATAATCCTTGGCAGGGTATTGAAGTTTCTCCCCAAGGTAATAGAATGTACACCAAAACAGTGTTTCCAATATGAACATGTTTTTTCAAGAAATTATTAGGGAATCTTTATTCCTGAAACCCTGGACCACTGTACGAAAATAATTTCTGTTTGTTATAAAAACAATATAGTTTCACAGAACAAAATATTTGGAAATCATAATGTGCCAAATATAAATCAGCAATGTAGTGGCATTATTTATGAAAAACAAATGTGACACAAGTTTGAACTTAAAGAATAGAACATTCAGGAACTCTGGAAGAATCTTTCTTTTCATAAAGATTTAACGAATGCCAAGTATTATGTAGCATGTCCAGCCTGAACTCTAGGGATTAAGTCAATGAGAAGAAACTGAAAACAGTGTATAATTAAGCAAGAGAGATAAAACAGAGGAGCTGAATAAGATGAAAAGCAAAGAGGTAGGAATAAAAGAAAAAAATGTGGTTTTTTTAATTGGGAGAAAAGATTAAGTCTACAATCAGTTTACTTTAAGTAAGGAAGAATGTCCTAGATAAACTTGGTGATTTATAACTCGGTTGACCAGCCTTAAGAACAGAACTGAAGCTTACTGAAGAAGAAGACATCCTGCCCAAAGAATGCAGTCTCAGCCCAGCCCAACAGTTTAGCTTATCCTTCCTGATGGCCTGCTGTATGGACTTCAAACTTGCCTAGCCAGTCTCCACAATCCCACAGATCAAGTCCAAGCAACCAAGCATTAAACTAACTTTCACTCTTTACACACACACACATGCACACACACACATATTTCCTGCTAGTTCTGTTTCTCTGATGAAACCCTGGCTGACACACACACTAATGCTGAAACGTATGTGATACATATATGGAATATATTATCACATAGATCCTTAGTTACCTGATTATTCTCCATGTGAATTTAAAATTCTATAGTTAAAATAACTGTGATCTTGATTTTTACCAGCAATTACTGAAAAATTTCTGGATAACCAATTCCAAATTTAAAAAAATGGATGCATTATGATTTATCATGAGGGAGGATTCTAAACACTACTGAAATTTCAAGCTCAAAATAAGACTAGATTTGTTAACAGCTTTCATGCCTTATTGGCTTTCTCTTTTAAAGATATCTTTCTAAATTTATTAAAAATAAATCAAGTTCTCAAATTCTAGTGAAATGCGTACTACTGTTGAAATCAAAATGCCCGTGCCACTGAGATGCCAAGAAAATATAGTATTACCTTGAATCATTTTAAATGATCTACAAAAAAAGCAAAATCTGATTTCTGGGCTAACCTAGCAAATGAAAACACAACATTACTAAACATGTCACACATAATGCCAAACAAGCAGAGGGAACGGAGGAAAGAGGACTAACAATGAAAGCTATCTCCAAAGCAAGAATAGAATAAGGACAGAAGTGGAACCAAATAAAACTTCTTTGAGGATACAATTAAGTGGAGCCCAAACCCAAACCATGTGGTTTTACATCATTGAGACAGTGTCATTCACTGTTCACTGTGCGGACGATGGAGTAGAAACTTCTCAGATTTTCCAAGTAATTGCAACTGAAATGACTGGGATGTTTTAGAACTGACCTTTACAAAAACACTTATGCTAACTCAGTTATTTACTCCTTATGCACAACAATATAAATTTTAACCAAAAAAACTGTTAAAAGAGATGAAGAATGGGACTATACAATTAAGTGATCAGTTCAACAGGAAGCTATGATTATAATAAACATGTATGTACCCAATTACAGGGCACCTGGCTATTTAAAAAAATGTTAATAGATCTAAAGGGAGACATAGACTCCAATACAATACTAATGGGAGACTTTGGTTTTTCCATACCATTTGTTGAGCTCTTTATTTAAATTTAAGAGTTAATCAAATGTGTATAAAGTTAATTGAAAATAGATCTTACGAAAAAAATAAGAATAAAAATAGGAGAGGGAGGAGGAAGAGGGGTGAGAGAGTGGGTGGGAGGGCAGATGGTGAGAAGAACCACAATGTTAGTAAAGTAGTAATTATGAAGTTTGTAAATTTTAAGCTGTATACTTCTGCATACAATCCTAAGGACTTACTTCTAAGGGTACTGTTTAAAAACTTGCCATGGGACCCCAAATCCCCTTAAGCTTGGTGGTAAAAGTATCATCATTAGTGTTAAAGCAATCATATAGATAGTAGTAAGTGACAAAGTAATCATATAAATAGGATTAAGTGTCTGATAATAATAATAGAATTAAAAAGGAGTGAATGCTCCAATATGGGAAGCAGTCCACCCAGCAGACTCACAGAATGACAATCGCTTTAAGTAGCACTGTGACCTCAGAACTAGCCCTTTCGGGCATTCTGGTCTGGCTAAAAATCTTAAAAGAATTTCAGGCATGGAAAGCCAAGAAACTGTGGCAAATAATGTCCTATATGAAGGATCTCAGTGGGTGAGACCCCAGTGGAAAGAATTGGTCATCAAAGAATGATGTACTTTTCTCTGAGGGAGAAGAAAACTTCCACTTTGCTTAAGGCCTTGTCTAAATACTGACAGAGTTTGTGGATTCAAAAGGTTTCCATAGCCTAGGCAGCTCATGTCAAGAGCCTTGGGTCTTGCACAGAATTCATACATAAGAGTGTTAATTATTAAAATTACAACAGGAGTCACTGTGCACTAACTTCCCATGCAGGATTTCTGTCATCAAAGAGTTGTATTATTAGAGCTAACAGTAAAATTTGTTCTGAAAGATTTATTTCCTTTTAGTGTATTAAGACATACATATTCTTAGGTCTCACAAATGATACTTATGCCTAAGTGCTCGCAAAAGATGTATCATACTTGGGTGCTTTTTAAAGTTAATTAAGTTTCTAAAAAAAAAAAAAGTAAAATTAACTTCAAGATGCAATGACTTTGATCAGCCCTTGTCTCAACTGCTGAAGAGTGTTTTTGTATTTTGCTTTTATTTCTTTTTTCATGCAAATTGTTGAGCTCTTTACTTAGTATAGAGTTGGTCTGCTGTGTATAAAGTTAATTGAAAATGGATCTTAGTAGAGAATGGGACTGGGAATGGAAAAGGGAGGAGGAGGAGGGATGGGAGTGTGGGTGGGAGAACAGGTACAATAGGAAAAATCACTATATTCCTAAAACTGTACCTATGAAATGAATGAAGTTTGTATTCCTTAACTAAAAGGTTTCTTTGGGAAAAAAATAAAAAAGAGAAAGTGGGTAGGAGAGCAGGTAACATGGGAAGAATCACCATGTTCCTAAAGATGTAATTATGAAATGTATAAAGTTTGTATTCTTTAAATAAAAGGTTTCGGGGGGGGGATTAAAAAAAAATAAACTATGCTAAGTCAAAGAATCCAGAAACAAAAGAGCATATATTATAGGATTCTATAATTCTAGACAAGTTAATAAAGTCAGAAAGATTATTGGTTTCCTGGGGCTCAGAAGGGAAATGCAGATGAATGCAGTGGGCGGGAGATCTTATTTGGGTGATGAAAATGGTGTAAAACTGACTTATGGTAAATAGTTGCAAGACTGAATAAAGTTACTAAAGAAGAAAAAAAAAGAATCTGTTGTGGAGTGTGCAACTAGCAAAACCCCACACCAGGGGTGGAGAATGTCTGGCCTAGGGGCTTTACCTCAGATATCCATAGCAAAAATGTTTTTTTTAGCAATGTCTTAATGCTTCACCTGTACAACAGGTTATAAAGCTTGCAACTGATTATTTTCTCCATTGCTATATCTATGTCTTTTATATATATATAATATATATATATAAAATATATATATATATATAGAAGGTAGAGTTAGACAGTGAGGGAGAGACAGAGAGTTATAGACAGTGAGAGAGAGAGAGAGAGAAAGCTCTTCCTTCCATTGGTTCACTCCCCTAATGGCCACCACGGCCAGCACTGCACCGATCCTTAGCCAGAAGCCAGGTGCTTCCTCCCAGTCTCCCATGTGGATGCAGGGACCCAAGCACTTGGGCCATCCTCCCCTGCCCTCCCAGGCCACAGCAGAGAGCTGGACTGGAAGAGGAGCAACCTTGACTAGTACCCAGCGTCCCAACCAGGACTAGAACCGGGGGTGCCGGCACCACAGGTGGAGGATTAGCCTAGTGAGCCATGGCGCCGGCCTATATATCAATGTCTTAATGCCTCACCTGAACAATAGGTTATAAAGCTCATAACAGACCATTTTTCCTTTTTAGGTAAAGATCTAGCAATTCATTAATATGTTGCCTCATTATGAAACTCATTTTAAGTACTTGGATTTTCTTCTTTGCTCTGACTTACAAGAACAATACAAATTTGCAGTCCACTGGGGCTAGCGCTGTGGCGCAGTGGGTTAAAGCCCTGGCCTGAAGTGCCGGCATCCCAAATGGACGCCAGTTTTAGTCCCAGCTGCTCCTCTTCCCATCCAGCTCTCTGCTATGACCTCGGAAAGCCGTGGAAGATGGCCCAAGTCCCTGGACCCCTGCACCCGCGTGGGAGACCCAGAAGAAGCTCCTGCTTCCTGGCTTCACGGATCAGTGCAGCTCCGGCTGTTGCAGCCACCTGGGGAGTGAACCAGCGGATGAAGACCTCTCTCTCTCTCTCTGCCTCTCCTCTCTCTGTGTAACTCTGATTTCAAGTAAATAAAAATAAATTGTTAATAAAAAACAAAAAACAAATTTGTAGTCCACCAACATAAACTATATATTCATTGATATTACTAATCTATCTCATTTGTTGGTTTGTTTTCTCTCCCTGAAACGAATCTGTGCATGTCACTTCAAATATGACATTTTGACATTAGGATGGTTTTAAACTAAAGGCAATTCTGTGCTCCCTTCATTTTGGACTAAAAGCAGGACACAGATTTCCATAGGTAAAGGTGACATAAATTTCCATTTGTGAAAGAGTTGTATTCTCCCTATGGAAGAGGATAATGGTTTTTATCTATAGAACAAACCTTACTGAATAATTTCTTTCTAGTCATCTTCCCATAAATTATTCCCTCTACCCCCCCCAAAACCTAAAATCCTTTTTCTTTTGTTTAGTCTCCATATTTTTTCACCCTTTGTTAGGAAGGTATATATACCCCAAATCCTAACTCCCTCACTAAGTAATATTCCTTCATGAACTCCATATATATGTAATTAAATCAGGTTTCTTTCCTCCCATTAATCTCTCTTATCAGTTTGATTCATGGGCCCCATCCACTAAACCTAATAGGTTAGAGGAAGAATTTTTTCCTTTCCTATATCCTCATTTTGATCATATCATTTTCTTCCCCATGCTATATGTATAGGTTGAGTATTTTTTTATCTGAAATGCTTGAACCAGAAATGTTTCAGACTTTGGAGTCCTCTGTAATTAGGAATGCTTTCATATACTTTACTGGTTGAACAGCCCTAGTATGAAAACCTGAAACCCAAAATGCTCCTAAATCCAAAACTTTTTCAGCCTTTGGCATTTCAGATTTGGAATTTTAGGTGGAGGATATTTAACCTATATTAAATGTCATATAGATATAATTATACAGATAAATATACAGTTCTAAAATTCTTTTTAGAAAAAAGATAATTAAGAAATGAAAATATCTTTTTAAAAAATAATGACTAACAATGATATTAATATTTTGTTTCTTAGGATAATGTCAATAATTAAAGGACAGTACATCCTTTGAAAATCCATTATGCTTTTAGGCCACTAGCACCATCAGAATGAATAAAAAATAAAGCAAATAAAACTTCACAGACAGAATCAACCCTCTGTGTTGGAAATATCTTTAATTTCACCAAACTATTTTTTAACAATTTATGTATTTGAAAGGCAGTGATATCGAGAGACAGAAAGAAGAGATAAGGTAGATAACATAAATTAGAAAAGGATAATAAAAACACCTCCCAACCATTACTCTGCTTCCAAAATGCCTGTAATAATCTGATCCAAAGCATGACTAGAGAAATCAATACATTTCTCCCATGTAAGTGGTAGGAATCCAACTACTACATCACTGCTGCAACTCAGGGTCTACATTGCAGGAAGCTAGAAGTAGGAGCTGCAACTGGAAATTGACCCTAGATGATATAGCGTGGGACAAGGGCATCCAAAGGTTAAAGACTCACTCCTAACCTCACTAAAACTTTTTATATAGCAACTTGATTAATATCAATAATCTTCAAAGCATACTTTAACATTCTTTCTTTTTACTCTCATTTCATGACATATTATACACAACCTATTAAAATCATGTTTGTAGTCTATTGTTTCTGGAGCTGATGTGCCAAATACATAATAAACACTCAAATATTTGCCATTAATAATCATTACATAAATATTTTCTACTCAGTTCATAAATGCAAATATTTTCAGAGAAAATAGTATTAATAGAAATAGAGCAGACAATCTCAAAGTATAGGTTAGCTCATTTTTGCAGAATACTAAAGAAAATATAGTTTGGATTTATGAAGGTCTTTAATGTTAAGTTGAAACATGTAAAATTATCATTTTTAGGCCGGCGCCGTGGCTCAATAGGCTAACCCTCCACCTTGCAGCGCCAGCACACCAGGTTCTAGTCCCAGTCGGGGTGCCAGATTCTGTCCTGGTTGCCCCTCTTCCAGGCCAGCTCTCTGCTGTGGCCCGGTAGTGCAGTGGAGGATGGCCCAGGTCCTTGGGCCCTGCACCTGCATGGGAGACCAGGATAAACACCTGGCTCCTGCCTTCAGATCGGCGCGGTGCGCCGGCCGCGGCACGCTGGCCACTGCGGCCATTGGAGGGTGAACCAACGGCAAAAAGGAAGACTTTTCTCTCTGTCTCTATCTCTCTCACTGTCCACTCTGCCTGTTAAAAAAAAGGAAAAAAAATATCATTTTTATAGAAAAAAGTTGAGTATCATCAAAGGGTTCATTTTCTTTTTTTATATCTCCCAATTATTTTATATAAAAATTAAACAATTTACACTAAAATACCTTTAACATAATTTTGAGGACAGAAGCACAGACAGCAATTAAGCTGCCAAAAATCATTATGAAATAATTAAAGTATTACACAGAACATATGCAGAATGTGGGGCACAGATGAACTGACTTTATCAGTAAAAAGGCAGTAAACATCTTCCTGATGAAATGCTTACTTATTTCAGCACTCTAAATGTAATTCTATATGAAAAGCCCAATGCAATTCAACACAATTTATTAACTATCTTTCCAACTGAGGAGAACCAAAATTACCAACTTCAAACATAGAGAGCAAATATACAACATAGGCAAATTGATTTCTTTATATATTTACTATGTGTTTGCAACTTAAATCTTGGTTATAAAGAAAGGAACATTACATAGGAAATGGGGGTGGGGGACTCACCATGTTTTCCTCTAGATATATCCACATACTGACAAAGTCGGGGATGGGTGATGGTCTTAAGAATTTGAAAGCGCCCTAAAATTTTTATAGAATTTGGTGTGAGAGGAAGCCCATTGCTTCCACAAACATCATGTGGCAAAGCCGAGGCAAAGAAGGTAAAGGCACCTATTTCAGCATCCTTTAAGGGAAACATTTTTGCAACCCTAGATTTTCCAAGATGACCTGGAAAAGAAGAAAATTTTATGACAGATCCACCAGACATTATGCACAATTAGTAACATACAACTTGGAGAAAAATGACAATCAGATCACGTAACAGCAAAAACAAAATTAAAAACCAACCCCTCCCCCCTAAATATCCCAAGAAGCATCTTAACTGATCCAATTATGCTTCATAATTTTCATGCTCTATATCAATCTACATGTATGGGTGTGCTATACACAACATATTTCATAGCTTAAAAATATTTAATATGAAATACTGATTTTCAACAAGTGATAAAGAATTCTACAGGAAAAGACATTCTTTTTAGCAAACAGTGCTGGAATAAGCCATCTATATGAAAAAACAAAATAACCTCAACCCCTGCTGATACAACTACAAAAGCCTGAGATGGATCCCAGGCCTGATACAAAAGTTAACACTCTCAATCTTCTAAAAGCAAATGTAGAAAATAACTTTGTAACCTAAAACTAGGCAAAGATTTCTTAGACATAATACAAAAAGAATTAAAAGACAAATTTGGTAAAGTGGATTTCATTAAAAAAAAATGTTCACATCAAAAGTATGAGAAAATAAAACTACAGTATAAAATAAGGGAAATATTGTGAACACATACATGAAATTACATGTACATATAATTTTTCATTATTGAACATATGTGTGTATGTATACATGATAAAATATTTACATCCAGAATTATAAAGAATTTCTATAATTCAATAATAAAAAGAAGCCAATACATAAATAGGCAAAAGTCAGAAACATGTTTTTTCACAAAAGGCATATAAATATTAACACACGGAAACATGTTGAATAATCATTAATTTCAGGGAAATGAAAATGAAAACCACAACAGCATAACTGTCACTGCTATCACAGTAGCTAAAGTTACAATACTGGCAATAATAAATGTTGAGAATGTGGAACTGGAGTTCTGGTACATTGCTACTGGGAGTTTAAAATGGCACAAGAACTTTGGAAAACTATTTGGAAATTTTTTCTGAAGTTAAAAATGCCTCTAACTTATGATTGTGAAATTCCATTTGTACTAGGTATTTATCCAAGAACTTAGATGTCAAAAAGAAAACATTTGCATGAGATTTTTTGTAGCAGTTCTGTTCATAATAACTAAAAATTGGAAGCGAAGCCAATGTCCCAAAAGTGAAGGATCAGACAAGTTGTGGCATATTCATACCATGGAGTTATATTTAACCAAAACAAACAAACAAACAAACATACAAAATCATCACTGTATGTCAAAAACATTATGTTGATAAAAGAAGATACAAAAGAGTACAAACTGTATGACTCCATTTAAGTGTTATTCCAGAACTACAGTTCTAAAGTATAGTGATAAAAATCCAAGGAGAGTAGCCTTGCTAGGGAAGAGGAAGCTTGAATGAACAGGGAAACAGAGGAACTTTATATAGTGATAGAAATGTTCTACATATATCATGACTGGGGTGTGGGTGGTTACAAGAATGAATATTTGCATCACAATTCATCCAAATGGTCACTTCAAATCAGTGCATTTTAACATATGCAAATTTCATCTCATAAAAAAGAAACATATTAGGAAGCTATATGAAAAGAATAAAAAACAAAAATGAGTGAAAATTATGATTGCCACACCAAGTAGAAGTGTTGGGAAATGAAGTTCAGACAATTGTTCTGAACACGGAGAAAAAGGCAAACAAATAAAAACATTAAAAAAAGACAACACATATTGTGTGGATCAAGTAAAGAATTCAACAACCACTTTATAGGAGTTTCAGAAAATGAGAGAGAGAGAGAGAGAAAGGACAACAATAACAACAACAAAAAAGGACAAGAAATTATCAAAGGTCGAATAGGAAAAAATTCCCTATAGTTGAAGGAAAATATGTAAGTTCAAATTTAAAAAGCTTATAATTTCAAGAAGGATAAATTTTAAAACACCAACATTTATCTAAGCTCCTCTAAGACAATTCATGCAGGGGAAGTAAACTAACTGCTAGACAAGTCACTATAAATTTTCAAAGCATTAAGCCTAACTATAAATTTTTATAATTTCAGAGAGGAGACCAGGTCAGTTAGCAACAAATAATCAGACTGGCATTCTCATCTTTGAACAAGCAACAATGAAGTCAGAAGGCAACATAACCTGGAAAGATTCATAGGAACATAATTTTGATTCTACACACAAACTACCTATCATAATAGCTAATAATAATTTATAGCCATATAAACATTAAAAAACAAAATGATCATTGACATAGCTTTTGTGAGCAAGTTGTTTTAAGATGTCTGCCAATAAAACACAGGAAGGAACAAAATAATAGTAGATATGATGTTAACAAACCCAACAGTTCAATTAATATAAAGCCAGGAAAGGAATTATACAAATCGGCTAGAAAGCAATCAGTCCAAATCAAACAGAAAGCCATTGGACCAAAGGGAATGTCTTCAAATAGAGGAATGGAATAGAATTTTCTGTGTATACAACAAAGGAAAAAGAAAGCAAAAGTACCTTTCTTTCTAAAAGAAAGGAGAAAAACAATCATTAAAGTGAAACAAGTTAAAAACTATTTAAGTACATGGTCCAAACAATAAAGCACACTAAACTACGGCATGATTTTTTGCCACTGGAGTCAAAGAAAGAAGAATCGATTTGACCTTGATATTACAAATATTTTCCTTAATGTGGCAGAGATCATGAAATTAAAATATTGGAAAGGAACTGTATCTGTTTGGCTCTGCACTGAAGCATAACTATAAGGCCATGCTGTAAACTTTTCATTGACATTAGCATATAAAAAGCAAAAATCATAGTTGAGAAATATATATAACTAACTTTGACAATGTACAAGGAAATGTTCAGCTAAAGGAAAGTGAAAATGGAGGTGGTTTCTGTGGTGATAAAGGAAAATGCAGAATCACTCTCTTCCTCATTTTATAAAATAAGGAGTCAAATATATTTTCAAAAGTTGATGTAAAAAGGTAGAGTTTGCTGGCGCTGTGGCTCACTAGGCTAATCCTCCACCTTGCGGCACCAGCACACTGGGTTCTAGTCCCAGTCGGGGCGCCGGATTCTGTTCCGGTTGCCCCTCTTCCAGGCCAGCTCTCTGCTGTGGCCAGGGAGTGCAGTGGAGGATGGCCCAAGTGCTTGGGCCCTGCACCCCATGGGAGACCAGGAGAAGCACCTGGCTCCTGCCATTGGATCAGCCCGGTGCGCTGGCCGCAGCGGCCATTGGAGGGTGAACCAATGGCAAAAGGAAGACCTTTCTTTCTCTCTCACTGTCCACTCTGCCTGTCAAAAAAAAAAAAAAAAAAGAGTTTATACATATTTATAATATCATTTAGAATTCCATGATAACCAATACAAAAACCATTTCAAAATTTAGAGAAGAGATTGTGGGTGGTGTGAGCTATCTTAAGAAGTCAATAGGAAAAGGATTTAGCAGTGTAACTTATTATTCAATATATAGACCTAAAATTAGAAAAACTGAAAAGCAGTTATCACTGAAGAACAGGATTGAGGTTGGCAAGGCTGAGACAGTAACAGCTGCATTTTATTATTCAATCCTACCACATTATACTGTGATTTTAAACCAAATGTCTTCATCACTCAGATCACTGAAAAGTGCAAACGATCAAAAAAAAAAGACAAAGCAACAGATGCCACAAAGCCATAAAACAGTTCATCAGTGCCCTGCTTTGACTACCTGTTAGATGTGTGCACACAAATACACAAAATTACACATGCATACATCTGTTTACACTTGGTCAGTGAAAAGAAGCTAATGGAAACCAAAAACCAGTAAGGGGAGAGGAAAGATAAGAAAAACCGACTGGTAAGCAGCTGGGTTTGAAAATTCAGTTCATTCAACACACATTTTGAAGCTTGTATTTAAAGTCAGATGCTTTTCTGGCTGCTGAGCCAACAGTGAACAAGACACAACGCTTGCCCTTAATGAACTTGGGATACAATGAATCAAAGACAGCTGGGGAATTCAAAAAAAAAAAAAAAAAAATAGGGCACCAGACGCGGATGTTATGAATAAAATAATTTCTACATTTCTTCAGCAAAGGACACTGGTTATTTTATACGCAGTCTCTAACGAAAATGTATCTCTGTCTAAAATAAATAGCGGGCCTTGAAAGGCAGTCACTGGCAATTCTAAAGTTAACTCCCCTCATTGCTTCAGTTTCTTCTACTGCTCAAGGAAGTATGAAAATTCCACAACTGACTAACCTTTGAAAACCAGAAAGGAACCAAAGCAAGTCTGCATCTACGGTGAGTTACGGAGGGGCAGATTCTAGATTTTCTAGCCTCCTTTAAGACTTCATTTGAAGAAGTAATGCAGCGGCTGCTTTTTCAAAGTTGCAGAAGTGAACATGTGATTTACTGGGAAGGCGGCCTGTAACTAGGGGTGGAGACGCTACCCAGCAGCAAGCTGCACTTCAGCTCTGCTCTATCTCGCTGCGAACATTCGGGGCCATTCGGTGCACCTGAGAGTCCTCTACCTCCCACATGCCCCACAGACTACGACACAGAAAACAGGGATTCCCAAATACCTGCCTCCGAGCCTGGGGACGCAGGCGGGCACAAAGACAAGGGGGTTGGAGCTTCTACACAGGACCCCCAGTGCTGTCTCTGTGGCTGGTGTGGCCGCTACTGCTTAGTGCACCGGGCTCTGCATTTCAGGTGCTTCTACAAAAGAGGCAGCACCCGCAACCTCGGGAGCGCAGAGACTGCCCTTTGCCTGCAAGCCAACACAGCGAAAATTCGCTTTCCGGAACCCGGCCTGGAGCACGCGCTGGGCGCTCTCCACTGACAGCTCCCTCACTTCCTCGCCCATCCTCCACGCAGCCCGGCTCTTTCTGGTGACGCCAAAGCTCCCGCGACTCAACAGTGAGGAAAGACCCTGACTTCCGGCGTTCGCATGTTGCCCGAACTGCCGACAAAAATGTAGCGACCGAAGAACAACCACGGGGGCAGCTGGGGATATTGGGCAAGAGAACAGAGGACAGGAAGCGTGATGGGGCTGTTGAATAGGACTCGGTGCAGGAAGGTCACAACAGAATGCGGAGTTGAATTTCTGGGCTATTCAGGCACTTAACGGGGACACCTCGTTGGGTCCTTTTTCACTGCCACGTGTGGGAGAGGCTTGTCGCAGCCTGCTCCCGGCTGAAGCTGCTGCGGAGCCCCTGTCCACTGCTTCATGTGAGTGATGTCGCGGAGGGTCCTGGGTAGGCGGATTAGGATCCTAGGAGTCTTTCTTCTCTTACTCGCTTCCAGGAGAGAACCCCTGGACTGTGGGTGCTAATGGAAAGGCAGCTTGCACCGGCACCAACCTTGAAATGAGGAAATCAGGAAAGAGCTTGGGACCTTTCGGTGGAGCCAAGTTTGAGAAATGGGCTGCAGGGCCTAAGGAAGGGGTACTCTTGGAAAAATATTCGTTAGCATGTCTGTTTTTATGTTAATATCAACGGCAGAGAACCTGGGTATTTGTAGGGGCAGAGAAGAGAATGCCTTCATTTGGCAAATAGTTTTAAGCACCCACTGCATTCCAGGCACCATTTTAGACATCAGGTAAAGAGCAACGAACAAAGCAGGCGAAAATTCCCGTCTCCCTGTAGCTCACTTTTATTGAGGAAGACAGATACCAGAAGGAAATAAAAGCGTGCCGCATGTTAGGCGTGATGAGAGTGGAAGGGAAAAATTATAAAGCAGGGAAGGAAAGTATTGATTGAATTTTAAGTGTGGCCAGGGACGGTCTCAGGGAAAAGGTGACTCTGGTCAAGTAAACTGGCAGAATTGAGAGAATTAACGATGCAGTTATCTTGGGGCCAGTGCAGTTTGGGACCAAGCATTGCAAAGGCGGTGAAACAGGTTTGCCCGTGCAGCAAGGCTGCCAGCAGGTCAGAGCTGAGTGAAGGCGTTGAAGCTGGAGATAAAGTCAGGGCATCAGCAGATCACGAAGGCTGTTGAGAGCATGTGACGTTTAGTCTAAATGAAACAGGAAGCCCTTGGTGGTTTGTGAGCAAGTGATTGATATAATCTGACTTACTTTTAAGCGCATCAGTGGCTCATAATTAAGACTAGACTGAGGAGGGCAGAAGAAAGGAGATCATTTAAGAAGCTTTTGCTTTAACCCAGAGGAAACATAATGGTAGCCTCACTATGGATGATAAGAAATTGCTAGTCATGTTCTTGATGTAGTTAATTTTGATATGTGAATCTGTTATGGATGACAGGTTAATAGTCTTAGATTACACTTTAGGTTACTCTTGAATTGTGAGTTTTAGAGTGACAAGCATAGGTTAAAATCATGGCATTGTCAGTTAATACTTGAATGGATTTAGAAAATTTACATAACTTCCCTGTTTGTGTGTCTATTAAATGGAAGTAATGTCTTTATTGTAAAGACTAAATGTCAACATGTGTAATGATCCTTGTCCATGAAGGTAGAACTATTTTATTAGTTGTGTGTTTTTTGTAAGATATGGGAAAAAGATAGTGATGAATGCATCTATGAGTGGAAAGGAATGGTTAAATCCTGAAGAAAGTCTGAATAAGGTAAAAGATGCCCTTGTGTGAGCTAAGAGGAACATGGGAGGCCTAGACATACCCCTTTTCCAATTTTATACGTATTTTACCAGGGAGGGAAGTTCTTGTATTAATGGCCATAGTATCTGGCAATACTTGGACTCTTCTCATCAGCCATCTACCTCTGTAACAATACCCTCATCTCATAGTGATACTTGATATGCTCCAGAACCCTTTATGCCCCCCTCAGTAAAAAACAAGAAGGCTTTCTGATAAGGAAAACAATCAAAAATAGATGAAAACTTTGACAAAAAAGCAATTTTAGATCTCCCTTTTATAGGTTTTTAGCAAAGATTGTTAAAACACCACTAGAGGTACTGCTAATTATTGTTATGTATTTCTAGTGTCTCTGATATGCATTGTTCTCAGTAGATTTAATTTTATTATTTACCTTTCTTTAAACTCTAACTTTTGACCCATATGTTTTATATTCTTTAAAGATTTATTTGAAACGTGGAGTATCAGCAAGAGAGAAACACACACACACACACACAGATGATCCTCCATCGAACGGGTTCGTTCCCCAAATGGCCACAACAGCCAGGACTGGGCCAGGTCATTAACTGGAGCCTGAAACCCTGTCTGGATCTGCCATGCTGGTGGCAGGTATCCGAGTTCTTGGGCCATAATCTGCTGCCTTCCTGGGTGCATTAGCAGGAAACTGGATCAGAAGTGGAGTACCCTGGATTTGAAGTGGTAATCATTTATGGAATATGGGCTTCCAAAGTGGTGACCCAACCTACTGTGCCACAATGCCTGCCCATGTGCTTTGAGTCCTATCAGAAATTTTAACCTAGTTCAAAAAAGATACCACAATTGCTTAACGCTATAGTAAAGGTGTTCTTCAGAGTGGGATAACTTGGCAGATAGACTGTGAAGCAGATGAGATGAAGAAATGAGAGGACAGGGAAAATTGATTAGAATTACTACAACTCATCGACTCTAATATGCACATTTTCCTCATACTTAAAACTCTGTAATGGAAATGTAAAAGTTATTGACATCGTGAAATCCCTGTTGACCTGCTGGCAGTTGTGACAGTTATTGCTTGCACTTGGTCATAACTGGCAATACAGTCATCACTTGTGTTATGGGCAATGTTGGTATATAGTTGAGTTTAATTTCTTTTTTTTTTTTTAAGATTTTATTTATTTATTTTAGAGGTAGAATTACAGAGAGGGAGTCAGCGAGAAAGGTCTTCCATTCGCTAGTTCACTCCTCAGATGGCCACAGTGGCTACAGCTGGACCAATGCGAAGCCAGGAGCTTCTTCCCAGGCCTCATGCGGCTGCAGAGCCCAAGCACTTGAACCATCTTCCACTGCTTTCCCAGGCCATCAGCAGGGAACTGGATCGGAAGCAGAAAAACAGGGACTAAAACCAGCACCCATATGGGATGAAGGGGATGGAGGTGCCGCAGGGGGAGACATAACATACTCCTCCACAGTGCCGGCCCAGGTTGAGTTTAATTTCTATATTAAGCATCCTTTAGAAAAATAATGACTTAGCACTAAAATGAAGAGATCTGTATTTGGTAATAAAGGGAAGCAAAAGCATGTTACAGACATCCAGGGCTAAATTTAAAAGAGGTCCTTCAATCAGTAATGTAGCGTGTGTCTGAGTGATAAAGAAGCTGTGGGTCATGTGAATCAGCTGTTCTTTCCTAGTAATATATAAAATAATACAGCATCTTCTGACTGAAGCCGTTTTACCATTGATAGCTTCTTAGATTTGATGAAAAATACCTAGTGTCCAAGAAGAATGTGAGTTTTTTTACCCAAGGTCCTATGCTGTAAAGTTAGATTAAAAATCTGCACTCTAAACCTTGATTGCAAAGATAGTAGCCCATTTTTAAATATGTGATACCCAACGGTGAGAGCCTGGGTCAGGGGATTTACTATTTAAAAGAAATCACATGCAGTTTAGAGAGGAGGTGAGTACTACTGAGCAGATTGCCAAGGTAAAGAAAAGTAATTTAATGGCTTGGGCATCATGTGATTAATGGTTTTTTAGGTTTAATGAAATATGAATAACACTGAGAACAAAATTCCCAGATTCTTTTATTTTTTTATTTTTTTAATTTATTTGACAGGTAGAGTTATAGACAGAGAGAGAGAGAGAGAGAGAGAGAGAGAAAGGTCTCCCTTCCGTTGGTTCATACCCCCAAATGGCCGCTAGGGCCGGAGCTACGCCGATCCGAAGCCAGGAGCCAGGTGCTTCTTCCTGGTCTCCCATGTGAATTTCCAGATTCTTAATACTAGTTCCAATAATTGTTAATAAGCATTCCCTAGTTAGGATTGTGTATGTTAAACGCATTGTTTCTTTAGAGAAATGACAGCTCGGGCAATAAAGGATCTAGGTCAAGGGTCAGACAGGCAGGTTTCAATCCTCATTTTCTAGCTAGCTGTGTGACCTTAGCAAAATTAATTTTAATTCATGTCTTCTTTACTCAGGGAATCTTAATAGAATATTCAGAGGCAACCCATGTAAAGCCTTTGGCCAGAACATACTGCATGCTGTACAAATGGTCTATGTTATTATTATCTGCAAGAAACCCTATATATCTTAACATGTTAGAAGCTCTGAGGAGACTAAGGATGTAAAATTTTGAAATTGACCTTGTTCTCAATGGAAAATGGAATAATTACCATGGAGCGATTGCCATACTATAATGAAATGAGTATCTGGTTGAATGGCAAACGATTTGTCTGAGCTTTAAGTAGTATTGCTGTTGAACTAGCACTGTTCCCCTGACTGTAATGTAGTTTTAAAATTTTTCTTCAGTTTACTGTGTTTCCTGCACTGGTTGAAAACTTAGTGAGTGCAAGGAACATGTTTATTTTTGTTCTCTATTATAAACCCAACACAAGAGAAGACATCAGGGACTTCTAGGTAAAGTTGGTTCATGAACTTAAATTACACTTAGGAACCTGGTAGGTAATATAAATGGCAGCAAACAAGAAGAGATGCGGAGTGTAAATGCCTCAAATAAAGGCAATCACATTCAGTTGTTTCAGACACTGTTAACTTGGAATGCAGAGGCATTACTGACCTGAGTGATGGCAGTTTGTGATCCTTAGAAGAGACAAGAGCTCAGGACTATTCCCTGAAGAATGTCACCAAAGGCACATGTCAAGAAAAAAGAATCTTGATAGGAAGTGACAATTAGAAAGTGAAATTAGGTAAAACTACCCTTGTTTTATAAATTAAGAGAATGAAGCAGAGAAGAAGTTCCATAACTCCCAAGATCACAGCCAGTTAAGTGTCATTCAATGAAGATTTGTTGACTGTAAGCACTTTTGTAAAAAAAAAAAAATCTTTTTTAATGCCAGTGATCATTATCTACATATTACTAGAAAATAAACTGATAATCCAACTAGTATTTTTGAGAAATTTAGATGACAATCAACAAGTACTACAAGTACTAGAAAATCTGTTTCCAGAGCTGTTTTTTTTAAAAAAAAGATTTATTTATTTATTTGAAATAGTTAGAGGGAGAACCAGAGAGAGGCATTCCATCCATTGGCTCACTCCCCATATGGCTACAATGGCCAGGGCTGAGCCAGGCTGGAGTCAGGAGCCAGGATCCAGGAGCTTCTTCCAGGTCTCCCACATG